TTCGAATTATTTCGAATATTTACGTAAAATTGCGTAATTTCTTGCGTAATATTGCGTAATAATCTTACGTAATATTTTGTAATTGTATATTTCGCAATATTGCGAAAGTTTTTACGTAATATTACAGTTTTCTTACGCTTCATAAATTATTGCGCAATATTAGCCCTATTAAATTTGCTGATATGGGTAGAAGTAAAGAAGGAACCACTTGGCCAATTAAAAGAGTGTGGCTTAAAAATCTACTTTTGTTGTTTCTCCTGTGTTCTCTTTAAGGAATAAACAGCCTAGATAACTTCATCGATGAAAAAGACACCAGTCCCTTCACCAAGATTTTGTATCCAAGGGCGCACACCTCCTGCCAGTTATCTTGTTTACCAATTCTTTTGGCTTGTATGTCAAACGCACAACTTATAGAGAAGTCCCGAAACAGAGAACTATTGACCTCTAGGCAAACTGTAACGTTAGACTATGATGACTCTCCAACAAAAGTTTAGTTTCTTTTAGTGAAAAATTTTGGTCCAAATGATTGTTGGGAAGAGTTTATTCAGATATCACACAGAAATTTTTTTAAAAATCATTCGTTACTTTAAAAAATTTTATTACATAACTTGCTTCAGGTAATCAAGAGTATGTGTTAAGTTAGTTTCATCAAAATTATCATGATTCCAACTTCTATAATAAACTACAGCAAAACTTACTTGCTATTCTAGTAACAATAGTTCATAGTTAAGGTTGAATTATATTAGAATTATTGTAATTCTCTTATGAGTTGCTACAAGAAATTTTGTTACAAAACTCGCCATTCTGATAATCAAAAATGTAGTGTTAATTTTGTATTGAAATTATTGTAATTTCTATAAATAGTTGCTTTAAAATATTCTTTCTATTACAGAATACGCTAATCTAGTCAGCATGAGATGTGTTTAAGGTCAAGTTAGCTTCTATCATAAGTTAAAGTAAAGCTTACTTGCTATTTTAGTAGCAATGGTTTGTAGCTAAAGTCATGTAGGTTTATATTGCAATTACTATTATGAGTTGCTATAAAAAATTCTGTTACAAATTTACTTACTACTTTAGTAATCATATGTAGTAAATTAGAATTATCATAACTTTCAGCATGTATTGTTGTAAAAGATCTTATTAAAAGAATTTGCTATTCTAGTGAGAAATGGTATGTAGTCAAGGTCAAGCTAATTTTTATTGGAATTTTTATGATTTCATTATGAATTATTATAAAAAATTCTTTTGCTGAACTTATTATTCTAGCAATATATAGTATATAGTTTATTTTCGCATGTTATTAACATTATCCATATCCTAGCCAAGAATGGTAAGTTTGCATAATGCACAGATATAATTCAAAATTCAAAACCCCCAGAGTAGAGTAAACTACAATATATTTATAAATTATTACAATCAGTAACAGATCAGTGAACTGTTATTTCCCTATTTTTACAATTTTTAGAATTAAGATATGATTGTTATGACATTTCTTATCACACTTTAAATCTATTATAAAATCTCATATCATACTACATATCAGATGTATGTACATACAATAGTTACCAAAAGTAATGCCCAAAGATCATTTTTATAGTAAAATACATAAAAATCTGTTTTAGGAAATTTTCCTTTTTAGGAAAAATTCAATTTTTTTTTGACACCTGTGAAAATTACACATCATAAAATATAAACATTAAATTTTTTAAAAATATAAAATTAAAAAATATTTATTATTTAAACTTTGGATTTTTAATAATTTTAAAATTTTTGATTTTTACTATGTTTTTACTATGTAAATTTCATAAAATTGAATTGTAAATGTTATGTCATATTTAAACTTATTTTTTTTTATAAAAATAATTTTTTATTTTACATTGCCCTTAAAATATAATAGTAATGCTATTAATAATTGTTGTTAAATTTTTTTAAAAAAAATTTTGAAATTTTATATTTAATTTTAAAGTCAATTCTACAAATTTTATATATTTTACATATAAAATTTTGAATCGTAAACTTCATAATTTTTTACTTTTGGGGGCTACTGTACGTATGTATATGTATATCATCTAAAAGCCAATATATAGTAATTTATATGTGTCACGTGATTTTAATTTGCAACAATGCCGTAATTAATTTTTCATGTTTCAGATCACATTTCGGATCTAATCCAATCAAAACGTTAAAACCTACAACCCCAGAATTAAATGATAAAAACAATAAATAATAGATAGATGAATCAATTCTAATCAACAGATTTCAAGTACCTATAGAGCGATTGATATTGCGGCTGATTTTAATAATGCATATAGCTTGTTTAAACATTGAATTAGAGGTTGTTTGCTTGGCATTTTGAATAAAACTCTGAAAATTCTAACTGCTTTCATTATTACTATATTAATTTTTAGTTCTATTAAATTTTAAATACTTAAGAATTTTACTAGTTCGCATTCAAGAACATTTAACTGTTCGAACCATATATCCTACGTTTACATTTTATATAAGAATTTACATATAATGACTTAAAGTGAATACTGTAATATTCACTTTAAACGAAGATACTAACAAATCAAAAGTCTGGTATCACGCATGTCAGACAATTCAAGTAAAATAAAATTTAAATATAACAATTGTAACGAAATTTTTATTTTAAAGCAATAAAATGAGATTTTATGAATTTATTTTAATTGATTAGATAAAGTTCAAGGAATTGATAAAATTTAACAAGCCTGTCAGATAGTATACGAACGATTTTGAATGGATTAGAAATATATGCATTTATTATTATTGCAGATATTTCATTTTACTCTTATGTTTGACATTAAGGCCAAATAAAATTCTAATTTCCAATTTATAAATTCAATATTTATGTTTAATTAATAAATTTCATTGAATTCAGTCAGGTGGTTGTCAAGATACCTTCGTTCAAAGTTCGAGAAAAATTTGCCATAACATCAAAGATAATTGAACCTAGGTGCCGCGCAAAACCTCGATTTTGATGATGATCAAAAAATTAGGCTGGAATTACTTATAATTTTACTAATGAAATCGCAGCCACCTATTAAGTGAAAATTGTTCCTGAGCCAATTTTACCTAAACCCTAGCCATGGCGAAAAAAGTGACTGGTCATGTGCCGTAGATCATTTTTTAGCCAATCATGTTCAAGTGTTACATACGTGTATGTATATATAAAACATGTATTGTAGATTATTAAGAACTAAAGAAATAGCGATAACCTCTCTTTAAAAGATATAACAAGCTAAAAATTTTTGTATTAGTCCTGTATAAAAATGACAGAAAAAATATTAAAAGCTAAGTTTTAATATGTATAAGTTAATTCTCTAACTGATTATCAAGAACTAAAGAAATAGCGATAACTTCTCTTTAAAAGATATAACGAGCTAAAAATTTTTGTATTAGTTCGGTATAAAAAATGACAGTAAAAAATGTTAAAAGCTAAGTTTTTTAAATATCAAATACTATTTATTATTATCAATGTTGTTATTTATATATATATTCTTGATATTTAATTAAATTTTTTTGTTAATTAAAATAATAATTACGCCATTTACAATAAATATAATTAGCATAGCCAAAATGAAAGTTTTCCATTAGATGACTCTGTAGTACTTTGCTGTTTGTGTGCATTTAATACTTGTACACACTCATCAATAGCTCTGACAATTGGCTTCATTAAGGTATCAAAATTTTCAATAAATTTATCATTATTCATTTCCCGTTCATATAATACTAATGCAGTATCAAATGTTTTTTTATAGTGAGAAAGCTTTTCTTGTCTTAATTCTATTATATTACATGTTTCTGATATATCGTATACGTGGTTGGATGTAGAGCTTTTTTCTTCAACTAACTTATTTTCATTTTCAACAGGATTATACTCTACATTTTTGCCATTTCTGGTCCAGAGATTATTTCTTGAAAAAATAGCTGGCATTTTTTCTAATCCAAAGGCAAATAAGGGATAATCATGGCGACGTTGTGTTTCCTTAAATATAGGCAAGAAATTTGTACCATTTTTTTGTGAAACAAGATGTTTGTAAATAAAATATCGACTGCATCTATAAGACAAACAAGAGCACACCCAATCATTTATATCTATATGGTATCTTTCATTCATACCAGGTTCAATATGCATTGTAGCAGCTTTACTCCACTCTTTTTTAAATAATTCCCACCATGTTGGAAGTGCTCTGTTCGTATTGTGATGAATTAATTTGAGTTCAAAGTCGGGCACTAACTATTCAGCAAGAATCTGTGTAAGTCGATCTAAGCGTGGTCTGTTATAATTATATTTATATTTATATTTTAATACACACCAGTGACTTTCAGTAATCATAGTCGTTCTTGCCAATGGAATTGCTGCAGAAAATCCTGATCGCATAAAAAGCTTCCAGTCTTTTCCATTGTACCAGTTATTCCAAAGGTATCCTCACAATTCAGCAAGCTTACGACTATAACAAAACTGATAAACTTCTTTTGTACAAGTATAGTAGATCTCACTAGAAGTCCAAAAAGTATCTTTAGCTATAGGTATAAATAGATGCATATTAGCATGCATTTTTATCATATCTATAAGCTGCTTAATACAGTCATCTGGACAAAGTTTTTTAGTAGCCCTACTTGATATCCATGTTGGATCAATGAACTCAAATTTTTTATGTGCTTCTAAAGCTTGCATTTTAGTATACTTACCTAGCTTTGACTTTTCGTTTAGCCGTCTTTTAATGGCATGCTCTAAATGCCAATAACACAACTGAATATTTGCAGTCCATGACCATGCTTCACTTATAGCAGAAATTTCTCTGACATCTTTGTCAGTAAGTACAAAAATTGGTAATAAATTTATTTTTCGAAGACAAGAAAAAAATTCACACAAAACTTGCACTCGTGTTTGAATTTTGTTTTTAGGATTATTGATTACACTCTCATCACCATTAAATGTCAAAAGGTACAAGTATGTTAAAGGCATACCATAACCATTATGATTTGCATTTACAACAAAGAGCTTAAACCGCTCTTCATTTGTTTTAAATGTGGAATCAATGACTATCTCAGTTATATTTATAACACCAATAGAGTTTAAAAGTGGTGTTGCAAAACCAAGAGCTCTTACAAAATCATTTTCGATATAATTAAGTATTTTGAATCCTTTATTTGTAAATTTAGACTGTTTAAGATATAACTTTGCTGATAAAACATGATTTTCTAAGTTCATAATATAGGTTTCTTTGCTATAAACTGATGCCCAGTAATATACTTGTTCATTAGTATGAACTTTTGGATCAATAAGCCCTTTATCATGAAGACGTTTGCAAAGTTCAGAATTTCGCATATTGTATTTAACATTTTGTTGAATCCACTCTCTAGCTTTCAGTGGAAATTCTGATTTTCGGTATTGATGACGTAAATGAGCTTCTAAATGCTGGCACTGAACAAAAGCACGCTGTTGCTGTAGATCAATAGTTAGTATAATATTTCCTGCACATTCATATCTATCTATTGCAGCTCTAATTTCACTTTGCCGCTTTATTGGTTGATTCTCAGGCCTTTTCCATTGACGATCAACTCTTTGTGTACATCCGATATATACTGTCACACAACCATTAAACTTCTTTTTTCTAGTATTTGGATATAACCATTGAGTTTCCCAATAGTATCCAGATCCGAATTCAAGTGCTACAATGAGAATTTTTGCAAGTTGGCAAAAACTATCTTTGATTTTTTCAAAATCAAATGGTTCTGTATTAGCATCTTCTTAATTATATGAAATACTTTCGAGAAGTTGTTGGTCTAGCTCAATTTCAAGTGCAAAATTTACATTTTCATTACTACTCTCCGCTTCATAAAATTTTTTGGCTATAATTTCTTGAACTTCGTCTAGACTATATAGAGGACTATCATCATTACCATAGTCTTTGCTACCAAAGTTTTCATCTTTATTGTCTTTAAGAGTGTTTTCTTGTTCTGGAAATAGCTCTATTTCTTCGATACTACTATTGATTTGGGAAGTAGAAGTACTGCTACTACTACTTGGTGTTATATCAGTGCTGGCTTTCATTTTTGGAAATCGAATTCGTTTCTTTTCTTTTATTCTTACGTCTTTCATAATACCGATTACAAGTAGCATTTTCATTTGGGTCATCAGATCTATAAAAATCCTTCTTCTTCTTATTGACACCGCAACAAGAGCATCGCTTTTTATCAGAGAATTGTTGAGAAGTGCTAATGGTAATATTAGATTCATTTTCATTCTCACTCATTCTTAAAGATTTTTTTAGTCAAAATAGTTTTTTTAAAACGTAATAAATATAATTTATAAGTATTTTATATATTTAAACAGGGCAACACGTATAGATCGTTCTCCAAGAAGCGTTTAGAATAATTTGGGTAATTATTTATATATTTTATTGCTTTTTTTTTAGATTTGTATCTAACACTAACATTTATTATTATGTGTATATAAATTTTATTTCTCTAGATAGAATTTTTGACACGACTTTCTTGGAAATAAGTTTTTATTAATTGCTTTGTTGCTACTTTTATACATTTTTATTATATTTTTTTCATACTAACTATTCTACTTTAAGGCTTCTACTCTTGCCATTTTTCTCACTACTGATTATTCTTAGATTTTAATATGTAGGTTTCACTTTTTTTTTATACCTGTTTTTAGATTTACCACGCTTACCAACCTAATAATACTTTTTCTTAATTTTTCCTTAACACGTAGCCCTCTAATTTGTTATGTTTAATTTGTTCATTATCTTGTCATTCTGAAACCTGGGCGCCTTGCCGTATACTATTCTTTATTTGGTCATATGTGTTGATTCTTCGATTATTTGTTAGTTGAGAAACGATTATGTATGTTTCATTCAATTTCAGTTTAATTATGATCATATGCATTAATCAGATACTGAGTAAGGGTCTGCAACCCGGGCTCGTGCCTGTACCCAACAAAAAATCTAGGCATGGACATTGGCATGAAAACTTAGGCATGGGCATGAGCACAAACACAAAAAACTTAGCATGAGCATAGGCACAGGCACAGAAATTAGATATTTATTATTTAATTGTGCCCGGCACCTTGTGCCTAGCATTTTGTGCCTATGCCTTTAATAGTGCCTAGCACTTTTGTGCCTATAGGCACAGGCACGGTATAAGGCACTAGTGCCCAGTCTGGTGCCGATGTGCTGGGCATGGGCATTTGCAGACCCCTAATACTGAGCACAATTATCAATCGTTCTGTATTGGGTTACAGTTAGGGATATAAACTTAATTAAATTTCATTGCTAAAATAATTTTATTTTTCGAAAATGTTATTTGACAATTAAAAAAATAATTACAATAAAAACATAATTAAATTTAGAAAATTTGTTACAGTAATTCAATAATAAATTTATTCTTATTATAATGAAATCTTTTTAAACTTGTTTTATCAATATAATATAATTAATGAATCGACTTTTACAAATTTATTGTTATGATAAAAAAGTTCATCGAATTTTGTCAGATAACTATTGAGATATTTTCGCTCAAAGTTAGAGAAAAATTAAAAATAGAAGCTGCACCAAAATTTTTTTTAAAACTAAAGATATCTCGACAGCCACCTGACCAAATTCGATGAACTTTTTTTATTTAAATTCTATGAATTCATAGAATTCAAATAAAAAAAGGTTCATTAAATTTGATCAGGTGGCTGCTGAGATATACTTCATTCAAAATTTTAAAAAAACTTTGGTGCAGCTTCTATTTTGATAGACTTTTAATTTTTTTCTAAAATTGAGTGAAGATATCTTGACAGCCACCTGACCAAATTCGATAAACTTTTTTTTTATTTGAATTCTATGGATTCATAGTATTCAAATAAAAAAAAGTTCATCGAATTTGGTCAGGTAGCTGTCGAAATATCTTTTCTCAAAGTTAGAGAAAAATTAAAATGTCTCGAAATAGAAGCTGCGCCAAAATTTTTTTAAAACTTTGAACGAAGATATCTCAACAGCACCTGATCAAATTCGATGAATCTTTTTTATTTGAATTCTATGAATTCATAGAATTCAAATAAAAAAATACCCATCAGATTTGGTCAGGTAGCTGTCGAGATATCTTCGTTCAAAGTTTTAAAAAAATTTTGGCGCAGCTTCTATTTCGAGACATTTTAATTTTTCTCTAACTTTGAGCGAAAATACCTTGACAGCTACCTGACCAAATTCGATAAACCTTTTTTTATTTGAATTTTATAGATTCATAGTATTCAAATAAAAAAATTTCATCAAATTTGGTCAGGTCGCTGTCAAGATATCTTCGCTCAAAGTTAGAGAAAAATTTTGGTGCTATTTTGATTAATTTTTGAAGATATCTCTAATTTTTCTCTAATTTTGAGTGAAGATATATCAACAGCCACCTGACCAAATTCGATGAACGTTTTTTTATTTAAATTATATTAATCCATAGAATTCAAATAAAAAAAAGTTTATCGAATTTGGTCAGGTGGTTGTCGAGATATCTTTGCTCAGAGTTTTTATTTTAATGGGGGTATGAATAATAATGATCTACGATGTATATGAATATGATTGGTCAAAAAAGATCTACGGCACATGACCAGTCACTTTTTTTTCGCCATGGCTAGGGTTTTAAATTTTACCATAATGCGGTCTTAAATTTCTATTTTCGTAATGAAAAAATTAAAAGTCAATTCCGGCCGGAAATTATGTAAGGCGGGCCAAAATTTTGAAGATCCTCTGCCGTTAGCCGAAAGATCTGCCGCGCATTTTTCGTGCGGCACCTAGGTTCAATTATTTAGATAGGCGGTTTGGGGGGTTTTTTTTTAAAACATATCTCGACAACTACCTGATCAGATTCAATGAAAATTTTTATATGAATTCATAGGATTCAAATAAAAAAATTTTCGCAGAATTTGATCAGGTTGTTATCGAGATAGTTTCGCTTGAAGTTTGGGGGAAAAAAAATCAAACCGCCTATCGCTATCAAAATTGAAATTGCAAATTTAAACGAAGATATCTCGGTAAAACCTGACCAAATTCGATGAAAAAGTTTTTATTGAATTCTAAATTCATAAAATTCAAATAAAAAAAGTTTCATCGAATTTAGTCAGGTGGTCGCCTAGTTTAAAGTACGTATGTACGTACATACGTACGTACTTGTAATGACCAATCGGATATTGCGTACCCTGTATGAATTGTCGTGTAACACTGCAATACTTTGGTGCTACTGTCATGCATCATGCATACATATGATCACAAATAAAAGCAATAAAACTGAACTGAGATTTAATGATCCGTTTCTTTTCCTTAACCGATTTTTTATAAAAATGTCCAAATCAAATAAGAATTTAAAACGTGCGCTCTCAAATGTTACAGATTATCCACAAAAAAGAACGAAAGCTGATACACAAGGCTTAAATCAGTTTTCAATTCATCCATTAGCAAGATTTAATGGTCCCTGCTCAACGTATAAGCAACCAGTTGAAATTATGAGTTTTAGTTATGACAATGAGCGTAATTTGCATATGGATGATAGAGAATTGGTAATTTTTAAGATATTGAACTTTGTTAATTTGTCTTAAATAATGTTTCAATTTATTCTTTATAATTTGTAGAAATATTATTATCCTCCTGATCTAAAAGATTGTAATTTGTCTCATGGGTATGAAACATTTGTTCAAAGAGAACAAAGTGGACCAGAACCAATACATTCTTTATTGGATGCATTGGCTTATTCTCAAAAAAGATCAGCTGATAAGAATTTAATAAAAACAGATTTAGTATGTTACTTCATTACATTTATAATCGTCATTAGGCAATATTTAATCGTTAATTTAATTTTATTGGCTTAGATCTCTTGGCGAGGAATTTTCACGAAAATCCTATGCACACCATACAATAGGAATGAACCTTGGGAATTGGGTGCTACATTATCGAATGTATGCTTAAATTTAATGGTCTATTTTTTAAAGCAATTCTAGAGTTAAATTTTTAATTCCTTTTCATAATTTTAGAACACAATGTAAGTTATACTACGAGATTATAATTCATATCAATTTTATAATGTTCAAGACTTTTACTAAAACGCACCTATGGTGTTTTACACCTATGTATATATTATCTCAAAAACTGGCTAATTAATCAATGCAAGGTGTCCTAAGTAAAAATGCTCTACGCCTCTAAATTCAAAACTTAGAAAAATCCAAAAAAACATAATAAAACATATAATAGGTGCAAACCACCATAGCTGCGTTTTATAATAAATGATGTTCAAAATACTTTAATATTATTTTAGATTCATAGAAGAACATGAAACAGAATATACTAAAGAACATTCGACTGGGTCTACACCGAGACAAAAATTAATGAGTTATTGGGGATATAAATTTGAAAATTTAAGCACTATCTCTAAATTACCATCTGAAATCACTTCTTCGGACGATCCTGAATTGATCAATCGGAAAAACACAATTGTAAATACAAATGTTCAATATTGTTCAGTAGCTAAAACATCATTGGGAAATAATAAGTTGATTATGGGAGCTGAAATTGATTGCCTTTGTGGTAAGTAATTAATTTTAGTAAGATTAATGACAAATTGTTTCCTAAATTGAAAATGGTTGTTTTTTTTTACCTTATTTAATAATATAAAGATGTTAAACCAAAAAGGCCTAAAAACCCTGTAGAAAAATATATTGAGTTGAAAACTTCCAAAATTATTGAAAATGAGAAAGATACCTTTAATTTTGAAAGGTAAAAAATATGGTTATATAATGTTTTAGTTTAATGTATTATACAAACGACCAATTGCAAGTATTCTGTATATAAAGGTATAAACTTTTGAAGTTTTGGGCTCAATCATTTCTGATCGGTGTCCCTAAGGTCATTGTTGGATTCCGTGATGATGAAGGTCGTGTTACTAACGTTCAAGAATTTAAAACTATGGAGATTCCTAAAATTGTTAAAGGAAAAAATGGGATGTGGGTATGTAATTAAAAGAATCAAAAGATTAAGTTTAAGCAAAAAAACAAACTCTTCCAAGTTTGATTCAATTTTTTAATACCAGAATGCGACAGTCTGCTTAAATTTTGCAAATAAATTTTTTGAATGGTTAAGAACGGTGATTGTAATTGATGATCCTAATTCATCTTACACTATATCTTTTCATTCGCCATTTAAAGATATCAAAGTCGAATTCATGGGTAAAAAGAACTCAGTATTAGCTGAAAGACATTTAGAGTCCTTAAAAAGTACCTAATAAAAAAGCGTACAGTGCCGAAATGAAAAGTTAAACTTTTATAGTTATTATTTATTAGTTTAATACTATCTGTTACATTTTAAATAACGTCTCTTGTATATGCTTACATAAACATATATTATTTTGATAATTGTCGTAATAAATAACTAGATAATATATTTTTTTTAAAAAAAAAAATATTAATAACTCTTCTTAAGTTTGGAAACTTTTCGTTCAAACTAGTGTTTAAAAAATCTCCATCTGGGTCACTCGTCAGTTAGATCATGTGCAACCCAGGTGGAAATCGGGTCAACAAAAAACCATTCATCCGGTAGATGAACAATATAATACTCTCTATAACATGATATACCGAGTGGGTACAGTGTTTGAAATCTAATCTTCTCAATGTTCTCAAGAACATTTAAAAAAATTCGAGAACACTGCATTTAAAAATCATGTCCTCATTTGAGAACAATCTAAAAACATGAAATTTTATGATTCATGTCTCATAAAATAATATTTTTTTTTATATTTTTTATATTTTTTATTTTTTTATTTTATTTTTTTTATTTTTATTTTTTTATTTTTTTACTTTTTTTAATATTTTAATTTAATTTATTTTTTTATTTTTTATTTTTATTTTCTTTTTGAATAAATTTAACTATAACTGGTGTTGATTATCACTAGGGTGCTTATATTTTAAGAACATATTAAGTAAACAGGATCAGGTACTCTAAGTAAAAACTGAAATATATTACATTACAGTTTGATCTCGATATAATCACCAGGCTAAACCCCGAAATTTTGATGATTATAAAAAGTTGTAACTATATAAGATTAAATTTATATGTCTTTATAATACTGTAGTTAGGTTATAGGTTAAGAAAATAGTTTGATTATAACAAGATTGTGCTTATATTGAGAGTGACTATAACGAGGTTTGACTGTATATAAAAAAATATAATAAAATAGCATAATTATATTTCAACAAATTTATAGATTTTTGTAAAGTAGACAAAATTCTCTAGGCAGAATCTTTTTTATTAACTATTAAATAATATATTTTGTTATTATTTTTTGATAATTACTCTATTATACCAGTATATTGTAAATATACAGTGATAGAAAAAAATTTTAACAAAATAAAGAGTTTTACTACAAATAACTAGTGATGATTGTCACCACCTCTAAATATTTTTAAAGTTAGGGTGCAATTTTAGAATTTTATATATATATGTAATATAATTAACCTAGTGATAATCACTACTAGTTATGGTTAGTAATATTCTTTAAAAAAAATTAATAAAATGATTAAAATGATTGAATATATACAAAATATTACACAATATGTCCTATATAATTGTATAATATTTTGCAGTTATAATATAGTTTAGTGGCTACAAATATAAATTGGCCAAGTTCAATGCTAAAAAAAAAAATAAAAAATATCTTTTAGTCTATAAACTGTTAAAGTAATTAAATAGTATATTTTAAATTTTAAATTTAGTTTATAGATATACTAAATCAATTAAACTCAACAATTTAAGCTATTTTTTATTTGTAAAAATTTGTTTTTATAAGTTCATCTAATAAAAGTATTTGACTATAATATAGGTTAATAATATGAAGCTAAGAATTATAAGGCAAATAAATTTTATAAAAAAAGTACTATAGTATAATTAGTATTTCTATAAACTGAACTGAACTAAGTTTTAATCTAAATTTAAGCTTAATTAATATATTAAACCAAACTTAAATTAAACTTATTTTAAAGCACAGTTAAGTTTATATTCAATATTGAACTTTTAAAACTAGTTCGTATTTATTTCAGGTTAGGTTCAAAAGTTTATAGCATAAAATTACTTAATAAAAATTTTTCATTAGATATAGCATTTACAAACTGCAAAACAATATATATTAAAAAAATTAACTATTATAAAAAAATGATATTTTAGCATTATTTAAATATTAAAAAAAAATATGATTTTTATTAATTATGCAACAAAAAAAGGCTATTTATACTGTATTTTCAAATCTTTTAATATAAATTGTAATACTATCCCTTTTGACATCAATTTCATACAAAAGGACGTTTAATTTCATATCAATTTCGTACAAAGTGACATTTAATTTCGCACAAAGTGATATTTAAATTCATACAAGTGATATTAAATCTATACAGAATAACAATTAAAATAAGTTTGATAAAATCACAATATTTCGTGATATAGTAATCTAATTTAAGTGATTTAGTACCATTCAAATCGTCTCATTGAGAGGATTCAAATGATACCAAATCATCTATATTGGATTACTACATCACGAGATATCACAATCTTATTTTAATTGTCATTTGGTACAGATTTGAATGCCACTTAGTACGAATTTAAATGTCACTTTGTATGTGAATATCACCTTGTTCGAAATTAAATGTCATTTTGTACGAAATTAATGTCCTTTTGTACGAAATTGATATCAAAAGGGATAAATTAAAAAGTTTATATAGATTTTTATATGTTTACTATTAAAATAATAATAATAAATTTCAATTCAAAAAAATAAAAAATAAAGATCAAACATGAAAAAATAAAAAATAAAAATAAAAAATTAAAATTATAAAAAAAACTAACTAAACAATACTAGCAAAACCACAAGCCTATAAATTAAGGGTCCAATGATATATTCAGAAGGCAATTAGGGTGTAATAATATTTAAATTTATATCATGATTTTTAGTTTTACCATCACTACAAATATCTTTAGAATTACTCGCTAAGAATGTATAATTTAAATAAATTAATATAAAAAAGAATATGTCGCCTTGAATAATATCAGCAGTTGTATTTGCATGACCTTTAATAGCATTAGAAACTGGTAGATCCGGGTCAATTGTTACTTGGTCAAGAAAACCATCATCTCTAATCTTTATATATAAGTTATAAAACATTTTACACATTATTTATGTTTTCTGCAGATTTTTGAAGATAAAATAAATCTCTTATAATCATTACTACTGTATTTATTCCAATTCCATTAATATAACAATATCCAACCATATATGTTCCATCAGCGTCTCCCATCTCTGTAGATATTCGACAATAAATGAATGCTTTACGCTCACTCTTTTCAACACCAGTTCCATCTTCATAACAGTTACCAAATGTAAATGTTCCATTAGCGACCCCATCTCTGCAGATTTTTGATAATAAATGAACGCCTTATGTTCATCCTTTTCAACTCCAAGTTCATTAAAATAACAATATCCAACATTAAATGTTCCATTGGCATTCCCCATCTGCGTTGATTTTTGATAATAAGTGAACGCCTTATGTTCATCTTTATCGACCGATTCCTTAATTATATGTTCCACTAGAATTTTCCATCTTTGCAAGTTTATGATAATAAATGCCTTATGTTCATCCTTTTCACTTCCGATCCTTTTTCATAACAATATCCAAAACACTGAGTACTCCATTAGAATTACCCATATCTGCAGATTTTTGATAATGAATGAATGCTTTATGTCATTCTTTTTAACCCTATCCCATGTTGATAATTGTATTCTAGTTCATAAAGACTTAAATTAGTTGATCTTTTTGGGAAACAGTTTATTATAAAACTTCAACTTAATATGAACAAAAATCGAACTATTACTATATATATATATATAATTTAATGCAAGTATACAGTACTACATTATCATGTGCCATAACTTATTATAGATGGTGTCAATCCAGCCTCCTATTACAACAAATAAACTTATATTTTTGTGTTCCTGCGCTGGAGTAGTTTTTTGCCAAGTATTGTAATGAATTGAGTAGAAAGGCTTTGTATAATAGGGTTATTCGTGTTATTTCTGGCTATTTTTGATTGAGTCGATCGAGCTTATGAATTTTGATTTGTCGGAAAATATTTTGGTGTATCGACGTGAACCGTCACTTCGTTTATTCGAACATTTTTATTCGTACGTATTTGAGCTTGAGCAGGTAGTAAGTACGATAATACAAGTTAAATTGAACTTATACGTATGGGCAAAAATTTTTGATGGGAATATTGGGATCATTAAAAATTAAGTGATACAATAGAATTACATATAAATAAGTTATGAATTTGCTATCTTTAAACAATGAAAATACGTCATAATATCAAAATATTAGTAAGTAAGGACGCAATGGACCAATCAAATAATTATATGGTTTAATTTTATCATAACAAAAAAAATCAATCAGAAAATCAAATACAATCATTCAATTGATTTTTATTATATTTTTGTATTTTAATCCCGGCAATTACGCAATATCACATAAACAATTGGATCAAATTTTATGAACTATCTTTATTATTTTTTAATCATCACTCAAATCTACCCATAGAATTATTGTCACATTTAGCATTCCAATTGCTTCAATTTCTGCTACTTCTTTTCTAAGTTCTAATAAGGACATTTCTAGTTCAACTTTTGTAAACATATTGCCCATCCGAATTTCATTATTGTCATCTATATCAGACTTAATTTCACTATAATTCCATCCATAACTTTATTATTAGCAGAGCTAGGGTAGGGCAATTCCCAAAAATATTTTATCGATTTTATGTTATAATTTACAGAAAAAGGTAAGGCTTTATTTTTTTTAAATAAATACTTGAAAATTATATATTTAATACGTCACCTAGCATTAACAACAAAAGGAAACTTTCATTATCTGAACTATCAATCCGAAGCCGGCAAATTTGTCCGGCCACCATTTTTTGCTAGGTAACACTATGTAACGGTAAAAAATTTCATTATGTGTAACCAATCAGAGCCGATGTCAAAGCAAAGATTACCAAATTCCGCAGTTACTTATTCGTAATTTTTGCGATAACTCTACAATAATAAAGATTATAGATCTCTCTCTAAAAAATTCTGTTTCTGCGCAAAAAATTTCTATTCCTGTGCAAAAAAATTCTATTTCTGCACAAAGAATTTCAAAAAAAACTTAATTACTAATGTGCGAAACCACGCTCGTGTTTTGTGTTGAGTGATTTGTTCTATTAAACAAACTTACAAAGCAAACTTCCAAATAAAAAAATTCCGGATCAAAACTTTACAAGTTTAATTGGCCATTCTTATGCTGGGTCAATAGCATATAGATTATAATGTTTATTCAGACAGGTTCCATTAAAATAATTAATACATTAAATATCTATCTAATAATAAAAGTTTTATATAGTTAATTGTCCAATAAACAAGTCGTTGAATAAATTCATCATAATTAAAAAATAGGTTGAATGCGTTGCATGTATGCAAACGATCAAGAGAATTATCAATTGACAAATATAGTGACAAGATAATTGCTTTACAATGATTTATCGAATAATTTAATATAATTAAATAGAATAATAATAGTAACAAAGTTATGTCTTTTTTTAAAAAAATTTCTTTGTATCATATTAATGCAAAAAAGGGTTAAACTAGTCAAGTTTTTACTAAAAACAAGTGTACATAATAAAAGCTTGATAATTCCTGTTACCAATCTTTAATGTACAAGCAATATTTTTGAAAAACATCATAAAAAATGCAGAATTATTCAAAACATGCAGTTTTCTATCATAATTTTCTCTATAGTAATAAAGTCAGTTTAGTATTAAGACTCCGAGCTTTTGCAAACATTTTTTCAGCTTTAGGACCCAAATGATTTTCATTAATGTTTACAAAAGTCAAAGTAGTATTATTACAAAGTGCTTCTGCCAACACTTTTGCTCCCTCCAAACCAAAACGATTATACCTGAGATCCAAAAATGTCAAAGAGGTGTTTACATAAAGTGCTTCCGCTAACGCTTTTACACCTTTAGAGCCTAGTAAGTTATTTTCAAGATTCAAAGAAGTCAAAGTAGCATTTTTACGGAGAACTTCAGCTAATGCTTTGCCTTCCTCGGGACCAAGTTTATTATCATAAAGATTCAAATAATTTAAAGTAGTATTCTTGCATAAACCTTCTGCTAAAATTTTTCCTTCTTCAGGAATAAATATATTATGACCAAAATCCAAAGCATTCAGAGTGGTATTTTTGCTAAGTGCTTCTGCTAAAGCTTTCCCACCTTCGATTCCAAATTGATTATCATAAACATTTAAAGAATTCAGAGTAGTGTTTTTGCAAAGAGCATTTGCCAATGCTTTTCCACCTTCAGGACCAAGTTTATTATAACCAATATTCAAAGAAATCAAAGTTGTATTTTTACTAAGAGCTTCGGCAAATAACTTTCCTTTCTTGGGGCCAATTTCATTTCCCCAAAGATTCAAATGTGTCAAGGTAGTATTCATGTCAAGAGCTTTTATAAGGTTACAAACTTTCTTTGAATTAGAAATCCAACTCAAAAATTTCCATTTTGGTGTAAGGAATCTTCCATAAAGATTCCAATTTGAAGCATTTTGTAAATCTTCTTCACTATTATGGGCAATGAGAATTTCTTCATAAATTTTTAATGATTCGACATATTTTCCTTCATTAAAATATTTACAAGCTATTTTTCTTTTAATCTCAAGTTTTTCATCACTTTTGATTGAAATTTCAATTGTATCAGATGACATTGCTTTATCATGAATTATAATTTCAGAATTAATTTGAATTATAACTCCTTTTGTATCAGATGCATGGAAATTCTCATCTTGTTGATCTGAAGAAGATGTTTCATTATTTTTAACTGAAGTTTGGTTAAGCTGATTTGAAGTTTCTTCAGAAATTGATTTATTTAAAGTTTCTTCAGAATCCGATTGACTTAAAGTTTCGTTAAGTTGACTCGGAATTTCGTTAGAAATAGGCTGATCTAAGGATTCGTTTGAGATTGGTTGATCTAAGGATTCGTTTGAGATTGGTTGATCTAAGGATTCGTTAGAGATTGGTTGATCTAAGGATTCGTTAGAAATTGGTTGATCTAAGGATTCGTTAGAAATTGGTTGATCTAAGGATTCGTTAGAAATTGGTTGATCTAAGGATTCATTAGAAATTGGTTGATCTAAGGATTCGTTAGAAATTGGTTGATCTAAGGATTCATTAGAAATTGGCTGATCTAAGGATTCATTAGAAATAGGTTGATCTGAGGTTCCATTAAGAGTAAGTTTATTTAAAGTCTCAAGAACAGAATTTGCCTCTGGACGGGTGTTAGGATCCTTATCCCAACATTGCTTATAAAGGTCAATATATTGAGAAGGAGTGCCTTCTACCGATACTTCTCTATTTCCTTGAGTGATATGATTAACGAGTGAATTCTCAGGAATAGATTGGAATGGTATATTTCCACTTGAAATTTCCCAAAGGATTACGCCTAAACTATAGACATCAGATTTCTTATCAAATTTATAATTTTGGTCAATAAGACATTGAGGTTCGATGTAGGCCAGTATTCCACGAGAATTTAAATTTGTAGAAAACTGGGTTGCCAAACCAAAGTCAGCAATAATTGGCTGTCCTTTATTAATTAAAATATTTTTTGAATGCTATTGAATAATATTGAATAATATAAATTATTAATAAATCCAAAAAGAAATTTTTATTATTATACAATAGTAAAATTTTACGATATTACTTACAAGATTTCGGTGAATAAGATTATTATCATGTAAAAACGAGAGGCCATATGCTATCTCTTTAGCGATATGTAATTTATCTTTCCATTCAAGATTGATGAAGTTTTTACTCAAATATTCTTGTAAATTTCCATTATCAGCATACTGTAAAACCATATTAAAGCAACCATCATCGTCTATTAATTTATAATAAGTATTTAGAATTAATCAAATTATATATTTTTATACCAAGAAAAAAAAATGAATACCTTTCGTGACTCCATAGAATGTTATAATGTTTTTATTTGAGCCAAAACTTTGTAATAATTTAAGCTTTTATTACATGAAAAATTAACGAATAATTAATATAAAAATTTAACATATAACTTAATAATTTTATAATACATTCATTCTCAAAGTAGATTAAGATTAATAAATTGTACCTCATTAATGAGTTCATGATTAATCTCTATATCTGAATTTGAATTTGAATCGACTTTAAGGCGCTTAAGGGCTACAGTTAATTCAGAGTCTTTCCATTCATATTTGGAGACCTCACCAAAATTTCCCGTACCAATTACCTCATGATTTGTAAACTTATTATACTCAATATAATTAAGTTCTTTATCAGAAGTAGCTTTTTCAATCAAATCTTTTAATGTATTCGCCATTTTATTTTACTAAAAACATTAACTTGTTATTAGTATTCAATGTTAGTCTAGAATACGTGCATAATGTGTGTTGTTAGGCTTAGTTTACCTCTCGGAACCAGATTATTAGGACTGTGCTACGGTATGTATGTAAATAGTTGGAAGGGTTTACTTAGTAGGAAGAAGCTAGTGTTGTTAATGAAAGAAATGCTTAATGAATAAAAAGATATAGCAACATTTTTATATCCTATTATACTATCTAGTACGTGAATAATGAGTACGTACGTGCGTACATACGTGCTCGTACGCGAGTACACCATTGTGCACGTGTTACAATCAACACTATCACTACGTTTATTAGACTCTATAAGTAGAACAGAAAAATAACTTGTCATTGGTTTTTTTTGCCTTGTATAGTGAACAAATAATATTATTTATATTTGCCTGTAATCTGAAACCTTCAAACGGTAATAATACGAATGACACTTTATTTTGGTCACCATTATTTTGTGCTCTACAACCATTTCCACAGATGGACGTTAAAAATTTAAAATTTATAAAATTGGTGCATAAATGATGAGCAAAGTGTAACAAGATAACAACGTTACATGCAGCATGTAAGATACAAATTGTTTTAACGTATATCATGCCAAGATGAAAATCTATCCTATTTTGGCAACTTTTAGTATTTTTGCCTTATTTTAACGTAACCATTTCAGCAGGTATTATTTATAAAAACTCCTATCTTGTTATCTTATTAGTCGATTAAAAAGTAAGCATTATCCACTTATTCGTCCGCATCGTCAACTTTCGGAATTTTCAATGATTAGCAATTTCTTCGCAGATGTTACTAAAATTTTAACTCTACAGTAAAAACTATTCCGCGAATTGAATTCTTTATCTCGGAAATTATAACAAGTTTTGCCAAAAATCCATTTATATAACCTTACTATTTGATTAAGTTTGTAAATGATATATTCATTCTTGCGACTAGAGTTTGCACGAATTTGTATATGCGAGTGACGCCAAGAAAAATTTTTGATTGAATACAATAACCATTAAAATAGAAATTACTGTAATTTAGCCCAAAGCTAATCCAGGGTTTCATTCATATCAGAATTATTCATATCAATTAAATATTGTTTTTTTTTCTTCGTACAAGACTTACGCCACTCTTCAATTTGATAATTGCCTATTTCCCAATTGTGCCAATCTTTGATGATTTAAATAAATGTTACCAGAAGCATTCGGGTAGAATTCGGGTTGACCCTGACCCGAAAAAAGTTAATAGGCATTCATAACGATTTTAGGAAATGGACTAAGAACCACCGTTTAAGAAGGCCTTATGTTGCACGAAATTTCAATTCTAGATTTATAAATTTTTGTACGAACAAGGTCACATGATTGAATTCAATTCGCCGTTAAATTGACAACTTTCTGATTTTCGAAGAATTGATTTTTTTTTTTAATCCAATAATCTCAATCTTTTACTTAGGTGATATAACTTGAATTTAAAATCCTAAAATTGGGCAGAAAATACAAGCGATGGTTTTCCTAGCATTCCCATTTTCAGGTTGTTCATAACTTGATCACTAATTAAAAGACATAACGATCTTTATAATTTGTCATAAATAGAGTAACATTGTTTTTCACATAAATTTAAAAAGCCAATATTAAATCACTTTACTAAAATGCGCCTGGTGTTTTATCACCTATATTACATTATCTTAAAACTGGCTAATTATCAGTATGCAGTGTTCTAAATAAAAATGTTCTACGTCCCTAAAACCCCACCAAACCCTAATCCTAACCCTATATACTAACACGAAATAATTTGAGTCAAAATTTTATATACAAAAACTTATAAAAACAGAAAATCTATAAAACATATAATAGGTGCAAAACCACCATAGATTGCGTTTTATAATAAATGTTATTCAATTCATTTAACTTTATAAACAATTAAATATTGTGGAATAGAAGCTTCATCTTTAAAAACTACAATTTCATCATAATTTAAACTTCCATTTGCACTAGGTTCTCCTAGTATGCTATCATAGCCGGTTGGTGGGCTTGAAAGTTTCCCATTGTCATTTGTAAGTGAATATCCTTTCCCTACGACTACTTTATTCAAGAGCATTACTTTGTAACTTATATTGTTCAAAACAGTTAATGAGGCTGTATTATAATCATCAGATTTTGACGAGGTTGCTGAAAAATAAATTCCTTTTCTAATTAACAAGTAGATATATTATATTAATTAATTCATTAAAGAACTGATAGAAAATTGAAATAAAGTAATTTAAATGACTTGCCCGAATCGTTGATATTTTGAATTCGCGTATTTAATCTTATAACCTTTTCTTATAATACAACAAACAGAGCATGATTTATTCGAGCAAAGATGATTACTATTTCCAATACCTATAGAACATGCACTAAAAATTAAGGATTGAATCTTAAATATTGATCTAAAAGTTTGTTTTAAATGTTATGCGTAATTGCTTACGTTTTTGTACCATGAAATCTTCGTTGTTCGTTTCCAGCACTCATTAACCGTTGACTGTTACCTTTCGGAAACGGTTTACCTGACAATAATTGCTTTCCTTCAACCTTCTCTCGATATAATCTATACTGTGAACTTAATGTTTCGGTGCAATATATTTTCCATATTGAATAAATCTCTGGCAAATCTTTTTCGGGATGTTTCCAAGATTGTATAAACTGATTTGAAACATCCTTATATTTTTGATTATCTTCAGGAAGTTTTAGTATCATTGGGGCTAAAAAAATAAAAAAATAAAAAAAAAATAATATAATAAAATAAAAAGTATATAGATTTTAGTTTTAAAAAATAATGATTTATGACCACAAATTTATTAAGCATTTTACCATTATTACGCACATATCGATCACATAGGTCGCTGCAGAAGTCTTGCCCAAGTATTAAATTATCCTTGCCACAGTATAGACACAAAATATGTTCAATGATCGGATTTTGCCAATTAGGAGTTCTCTCTTTACATGAAATCGAACACCAATGTGAGCGAGGGTAAACATATTTAACCTTGGAAAAAATAGTTTACCATTACTGAAACGAAACTATTAAAAAATATAGTATGATCATTTTAATAAATATATTACCTTACACGTAAGGCACTTTGGTAACAATGTATTATCTTCAAGATTTTCACTCTTTGGAATAGTGTCAATAGGATCTATATTATGTTAACATTGAAAATTGATCATTTATCAATTTAATTATTTATACGCATCGATGATAATAAATTATTATGTAAAATTCATACTTTGAAAGACTGAAGAGCAATTATTGTCCATTTTATTTAATTGATTCGCGATCGTGTATGTCTTGGTTTGGACATAACCATTATTTTGTGAATCAATAATTCCACTTTTCACCATTCTCATTTCATTTTCATATAATCCATTTGGAAGAACCTTTGGAAGCACCTTAATCGTCCCATTCATCATATTTTCAACAAAATACATTGCAATGACAAATTCCGCTAGATCCAAGTTACCTCTGTGTTTTGTATCAGTTAAATTCCTATGACATTTTTTAAATTGATAATTATTTATTCAAATATTGAATTGTGCTTTTACTCTTAATAAAAAAAAACTTATAAATACCAAATTTGAGATAATTTATCTATTGGCAACTTAGATCTCGAAAAAAATTGTTTGGCTTTTTCTCCTAGTAATTAATTATTGAATTTAAATAATGCTTGCCTAGCATTTAAATAATATGTGACATGATATATTTACCGCCAAAAACGCCATTATCTGGATTAATGTTAACAAATATTTGCTTATATCTTTCTCGCACTTCATTTGGAATCGCAAATCCCACATTATCAACAGGGTTTCTATCTAATCGTGGAAGACACCCTCCTAATCGATATTAATAGTTAAAGTATTATAAAATTCCATTAAATTATCAAAATAGTAATCAACTACCTGTATTTATATTAGCTAGGTTGAGATCTTGCCCATTTTGTGCTTTGGCGACTAATTTAACAGCAATAATGAACTCCTCCCGTGTTAGATACCCTTTATTATTGCTATCAGCAAGCGTCCATATCTAAATTTATATCACATTAGAATGAAAGAGAGAAAATAATTTAATATGAAATATAGTGTGAAATTATTACCTCTCTTAAGGTTGTTTTTGGCAGTCCAGATTTATTAAAAAAATTGACTGCGTTTTGTCCTTCAATAACACCTTTTTTATCAACATCCGCTTTTTCAAAAAGTTGATGATAAATGAATAATTCTTCGGCAACCTTTGGATCTTTGAAAAATTAAAATATAATATTAATTTCTACTATATTTTGTATTTCTTATAACATACACATATATACATACCGAGTGCTAAATATTGCGCCATAAAACAAGGATATAATGATTGTAAACGGCAAATAACACAAGTTTTTTATACTAATCGAATAAATGAATGACAAAAAAAGTAATTTTATGTCATTCAATTACTCCGATAACTCCGGTTGATACTAAGAGTAAATGCGCATTAAATGCATTATGCACCTATAATATTTTGTATCTATTATTCAAGTCGTAACACACTCAAAACAATACTTCTTGAATGTTCGTATTTTTGTGTAACATTAAAATAGCCTTTCTGTGTAGTGTTAATGAGCTTCTCTATTTTCCTCCGTAAAAATTAAAATTTAAGCATTACAGTAATTCACATCTTTATCAGACCAGCTACACTAGTTTCATAGAGCTATATACTGTATTTGTATATCTTAATTAAAAAGGAATTATTTGTTATTATACATTTGATACTATTGTCTGAAAGATGCGTCTTCTAATATTATAAGAATACAAAGTTGGTCTTCAAGCGCATAATGGCTAATCAGAAAAAAAAAATTGTATAGTGCATGTTTATCAATTCGCTTATAATATGTTATTAGCTTCCAGGCCCGGTGTGAGCGGCTTTCAAGCATCTACGCCGTCGTTTTTTTTTTTATTTCTACTGTATGTTTGATATTATAAGTGTTAGTAACTAGTTTTTCAATTACTTTATTTGATGAGAAAATTCAACAGTTACCATAAACGGGGGCTATCATGAGCGTATGTGCAATTTGTACATACGTATGTACATTTTAAACATATGTGGGATCTTTGCTAGGAAAATCACCCTTCGGGATTTCCGATCGGGCTAATTCGGAAAAGTTCAGACCAGAATGTCGATTCTTATTCATATGTAAACCATCTTTTTACTTTACTGATTCTACAGTTTATTTAATAAACTATCGAATAAATAAAGCAAAGGGTTATTTACACACGAATAAGAATCGTCATTCTGGTCTAAACATTTCCGAATTAGCCCGATCGGAAAATCCCGAAGGGTGATTTTCCTATATGCTATTAGCTCCCAGGCCCGGTGTGAGCGGCTTTCAGGCATCTACATCGTCGTTTTTTTTTTTTTTTTTATATCTACTGTATGTTTGATATTATAAGTGTTAGTAACTAGTTTTTTAATTACTTTATTTGATAAGAAAATTCAGGACTACTGTAATTAGTAGAGGTCGAAAATATAAAAGACTCACCATTAGCAATAATAAAATGATAACTCAGTTGAGTTATGAACTTCGAAGTCACTTAGTAGAAGTTGGTTCTCTAAGAATTTGTTCCTTTGATCAATAAGTCGTTCTTAATAAAATTCGCATTTTTCGTATCCACAATTATCGGCATTGGAAAATAAAGAAAATACAAGAAAGAGTTATTATTAGTAATCAGACCCATTTTTATAACAAAAATAAATTAAACTTTGATCGAATCTCGTTGTTATACGATTACGTCGATCAATCGAAATTACCGTGGCACATGACTCCTAGATAAGAGAAATTCCAAAAGCAAGAGAAAAATAGAACTGTTAATGTGAGATTATACAACATACGTCAAGTAAACTCTCAAAAGAAGTAAAAGGAAACTCGACCCGGTCATTATTCTTACAAGACCCAAGCTCTGATAACTCGGACCAAATCTCACAACACCTCGATCGTCGCCTTCCATATTTGGAGTTTTCGGTCTTGTACCATATTAGATTTGTAGTGTTTGTGGGGTTAGATTGAGATATTTAGCCATTGCATTTTTTAGATAAACTCAGCTTGGATCCACATAAACCCGGTTTGGATTCACTTAAATCTAGCTTAGGTTACTTACAATTATAAATAATAGGGCTTGACCCAGCTATTTTTGACCGCGTAAGCCCTATGTATGACATATGTTTCATAAATGTCTGTACTCTGTACTTCTTTTTGAATAGATCCAAGTCGGTTTTATATATGAACCAATAAAAAAAAACATTATCACTGCTGCTTATTATTTAGGGTGGTTGGAAGTTGACAATCTCTTGCCATTTTGACGAGACGGCGATGGCGAGGTATTGCAGGGTGATTATTTGGTAAGATGGAGAGATATTGATGTGGTACGAACATATCGGTAGATACAGGTTATAATCTATTCCTGTAATAAATTTGTTCAAAACTACTCAATATATTTGTTATAAAAGTCTAATTTATATTCGATTCCTTCTTGTTAAGGTTTATTGGTTGACATGAACAATTTT